TCACCACCACCACCATCACCACCACCACCACCATCACCACCTCCACCACCACCATCACCACCATCATCACCACCATCACCTCCATCACCACCATCACCATGACCACCATCACCATCACCACCACCACCATCACCACCATCACCACCACCACCATCACCACCACCACCATCACCACCACCACCATCACCACCTCCACCACCACCATCACCACCACCATCATCACCACCACCACCATCACCATCATCACCACCACCACCATCACCATCACCACCACCATCACCACCATCACCACCACCACCATCACCACCACCATCACCACCACCACCACCATCACCACCATCACCACCACCACCATCACCACCATCACCATCACCACCACCATCACCACCACCACCACCATCACCACCACCATCACCACCACCATCACCACCACCATCACCACCACCACCACCACCATCACCACCACCATCACCACCACCATCACCACCACCATCATCACCACCACCATCACCACCACCATCACCACCATCACCATCACCACCATCACCACCATCACCACCACCATCACCACCATCACCATCACCACCATCACCACCATCACCACCACCACCACCATCACCACCATCACCACCACCATCACCACCATCACCATCACCACCATCACCACCATCACCACCACCATCACCACCATCACCATCACCACCATCACCACCACCACCATCACCACCACCATCACCACCACCATCACCACCACCATCACCATCACCACCATCACCACCACCATCACCTGATGTGAGACATCATACTCCGCATCACCGCCGACGTTCTGCACGGGTGTAGCCAGAAGCAGGGACATCCTAGCAGGGGATGCTCCTACACACACCAACACAACCATCACTAACTACCACTAACTATCACTAACTAGCACTATAACTACCACTAACTATCACTAACTAGTACTACAACTATCACTAACAACCACTAACCATCACTAACTAGTACTAACTAGTACTATAACTACCACTAACTACCACTAACTATCACTAACTAGTACTATAAGTACCACTAACTATCACTAACTAGTACTACAACTATCACTAACTACCACTAACTACCACTAACTAGTACTATTACTACCACTAACTATCACTAACTAATACTATAACTACCACTAACTATCACTAACTAGTACTAACTAGTAATATAACTACCACTAACTAGTACTATAACTGCCACTAACTACCACTAACTATCACTAACTAGTACTATAACTACCACTAACTATCACTAACTAATACTATAAATACCACTAACTATCACTAACTGCCACTAACTACCACGAACTAGTACTATAACTATCACAAACTACCACTATCACTAAATAGTACAATAACTACCACTAACTACCACTAACTAGTACTATAACTATCACTAACTACCACTAACTACCACTAACTAGTAATATAACTATCACTAACTGCCACTAACTAGTACTATAACTACCACTATCACTAACTAGTACTATAACTATCACTAACTACCACTAACTATCACTAACTAGTAATATTACTATCACTAACTAGTAATATAACTATCACTAACTACCACTAACTAGTACTATAACTACCACTAACTACCACTAACTAGTAATATAACTATCACTAACTACCACTAACTAATACTATAACTATCACTAACTAGTACTATAACTACCACTAACTAGTACTAACTATCACTAACCAGTACTATAACTACCACTATCACTAACTACCACTAACTAGTAATGTGACTACCACTAATTAGTACTATAACTACCACTAACTAGTACTAACTAGTAATATAACTACCACTAACTAGTACTAACTAGTACTATAACTACCACTAACTAGTACTATAACCATCACTAACTATCACTAACTAGTACTAACTAGTAATACAACTACCACTAACTACCACTAACTAGTAATATAACTATCACTAACTACCACTAACTAATACTATAACTATCACTAACTAGTACTATAACTACCACTAACTAGTACTATAACTACCACTAACTACCACTAACTAGTACTAACTAGTAATATAACTACCACTAACTAGTACTAACTATCACTAACCAGTACTATAACTACCACTATCACTAACTACCACTAACTAGTAATATAACTATCACTAACTAGTACTATAACTACCACTAACTAGTACTAACTAGTAATATAACTACCACTAACTAGTACTAACTAGTACTATAACTACCACTAACTAGCACTATAAATATCACTAACCATCACTAACTAGTACTAACTAGTAATATAACTACCACTAACTAGTACTATAACCATCACTAATTATCACTAACTAGTACTAACTAGTAATACAACTACCACTAACTACCACTAACTAGTAATATAACTATCACTAACTACCACCAACTAATACTATAACTATCACTAACTAGTACTATAACTACCACTGACTAGTACTATAACTCAATAACTACCACTAACTAGTACTAACTAGTAACATAACTACCACTAACTAGTACTATAACTGCCACTAACTACCACTATCACTAACTAGTACTATAACTACCACTAACTAGCACTAAAAATATCACTAACCATCACTAACTAGTACTAACTAGTAATATAACTACCACTAACTAGTACTATAACCATCACTAATTATCACTAACTAGTACTAACTAGTAATACAACTACCACTAACTACCACTAACTAGTAATATAACTATCACTAACTACCACCAACTAATACTATAACTATCACTAACTAGTACTATAACTACCGCTGACTAGTACTATAACTATCAATAACTACCACTAACTAGTAGTAACTAGTAATATAACTACCACTAACTAGTACTAACTATCACTAACCAGTACTATAACTACCACTACCACTAACTACCACTAACTAGTAATGTAACTATCACTAACTAGTACTATAACTACCACTAACTAGTACTAACTAGTAATATAACTATCACTAACTAGTACTAACTAGTACTATAACTACCACTAACTAGTACTATAACCATCACTAACTATCACTAACTAGTACTAACTAGTAACATAACTACCACTAACTACCACTAACTAGTAATATAACTATCACTAACTACCACCAACTAATACTATAACTATCACTAACTAGTTATATAACTACCACTGACTAGTACTATAACTATCACTAACTACCACTAACTAGTAGTAACTAGTAATATAACTACCACTAACTAGTACTAACTATCACTAACCAGTACTATAACTACCACTACCACTAACTACCACTAACTAGTAATATAACTATCACTAACTAGTACTATAACTACCACTAACTAGTACTAACTAGTAATATAACTACCACTAACTAGTACTAACTAGTACTATAACTACCACTAACTAGTACTATAACATCACTAACCATCACTAACTAGTACTAACTAGTAATATAACTACCACTAACTACCACTAACTAGTAATATAACTATCACTAACTACCACTAACTAGTACTAACTAGTAATATAACTACCACTAACTACCACTAACTAGTACTATAACTATCACTAACTACCACTAACCGTCACTAACTAGTACTAACTAGTACTATAACTACCACTAACTAGCACTATAACTATCACTATCCAGTGCTCAAACTATCACTAACCATCACTAACTATCACTAACTAGTACTATAACTATCACTAACCATCACTAACTAGTACTATAACTATCACTATCTAGTGCTATAACTATCACTAACCATCACTAACTATCACTAACTAGTACTATAACTATCACTATCTAGTGCTATAACTATCACTAACTATCACTATCACTAACTAGTACTATAACTATCACTATCTAGTGCTATAACTATCACTAACCATCACTAACTATCACTAACTAGTACTATAACTATCACTATCTAGTGCTATAACTATCACTAACCATCACTAACTATCACTAACTAGTACTATAACTATCACTATCTAGTGCTATAACTATCACTAACTATCACTATCACTAACTAGTACTATCACTATCTAGTGATATAACTATCACTAACCATCACTAACTATCACTAACTAGTACTATAACTATCACTATCTAGTGCTATAACTATCACTAACTATCACTATCACTAACTAGTACTATAACTATCACTATCTAGTGCTATAACTATCACTAACCATCACTAACTATCACTAACTAGTACTATAACTATCACTATCTAGTGCTATAACTATCACTAACCATCACTAACTATCACTAACTAGTACTAACTAGTACTATAACTACCACTAACTATCACTAACTAGTACTACAACTACCACTAACTACCACTAACTATCACTAACTAGTACTACAACTATCACTAACAACCACTAACCATCACTAACTAGTACTAACTAGTACTATAACTACCACTAACTACCACTAACTATCACTAACTAGTACTACAACTATCACTAACTACCACTAACTACCACTAACTAGTACTATTACTACCATTAACTATCACTAACTAATACTATAACTACCACTAACTATCACTAACTAGTACTAACTAGTAATATAACTACCACTAACTAGTACTATAACTGCCACTAACTACCACTAACTATCACTAACTAGTACTATAACTACCACTAACTATCACTAACTAATACTATAAATACCACTAACTATCACTAACTGCCACTAACTACCACGAACTAGTACTATAATTATCACTAACTACCACTATCACTAAATAGTACAATAACTACCACTAACTACCACTAACTAGTACTATAACTATCACTAACTACCACTAACTACCACTAACTAGTAATATAACTATCACTAACTGCCACTAACTATCACTAAATTGTACTATAACTACCACTAAATATCACTAACTAATACTATAACTACCACTAACTAGTACTAACTAGTAATATAACTACCACTAACTAGTACTATAACTACCACTATCACTAACTAGTACTATAACTATCACTAACTACCACTAACTATCACTACCTAGTAATATTACTATCACTAACTAGTAATATAACTATCACTAACTACCACTAACTAGTACTATAACTACCACTAACTACCACTAACTAGTAATATAACTATCACTAACTACCACTAACTAATACTATAACTATCACTAACTAGTACTATAACTACCACTAACTAGTACTATAACTATCACTAACTACCACTAACTAGTATTAACTAGTAATATAACTACCACTAACTAGTACTAACTATCACTAACCAATACTATAACTACCACTATCACTAACTACCACTAACTAGTAATGTAACTATCACTAACTAGTACTATAACTACCACTAACTAGTACTAACTAGTAATATAACTACCACTAACTAGTACTAACTAGTACTATAACTACCACTAACTAGTACTATAACCATCACTAACTATCACTAACTAGTACTAACTAGTAATACAACTAAAACTAACTACCACTAACTAGTAATATAACTATCACTAACTACCACTAACTAATACTATAACTATCACTAACTAGTACTATAACTACCACTAACTAGTACTATAACTATCACTAACTACCACTAACTAGTAGTAACTAGTAATATAACTACCACTAACTAGTACTAACTATCACTAACCAGTACTATAACTACCACTATCACTAACTACCACTAACTAGTAATATAACTATCAATAACTAGTACTATAACTACCACTAACTAGTACTAACTAGTAATATAACTACCACTAACTAGTACTAACTAGTACTATAACTACCACTAACTAGCACTATAAATATCACTAACCATCACTAACTAGTACTAACTAGTAATATAACTACCACTAACTAGTACTATAACCATCACTAATTATCACTAACTAGTACTAACTAGTAATACAACTACCACTAACTACCACTAACTAGTAATATAACTATCACTAACTACCACCAACTAATACTATAACTATCACTAACTAGTACTATAACTACCACTGACTAGTACTATAACTCAATAACTACCACTAACTAGTACTAACTAGTAACATAACTACCACTAACTAGTACTAACTAGTAATATAACTACCACTAACTAGTACTAACTAGTACTATAACTACCACTAACTAGCACTATAAATATCACTAACCATCACTAACTAGTACTAACTAGTAATATAACTACCACTAACTAGTACTATAGCCATCACTAATTATCACTAACTAGTACTAACTAGTAATACAACTACCACTAACTACCACTAACTAGTAATATAACTATCACTAACTACCACCAACTAATACTATAACTATCACTAACTAGTACTATAACTACCACTGACTAGTACTATAACTATCAATAACTACCACTAACTAGTAGTAACTAGTAATATAACTACCACTAACTAGTACTAACTATCACTAACCAGTACTATAACTACCACTACCACTAACTACCACTAACTAGTAATGTAACTATCACTAACTAGTACTATAACTACCACAAACTAGTACTAACTAGTAATATAACTACCACTAACTAGTACTAACTAGTACTATAACTACCACTAACTAGTACTATAACCATCACTAACTATCACTAACTAGTACTAACTAGTAACATAACTACCACTAACTACCACTAACTAGTAATATAACTATCACTAACTACCACCAACTAATACTATAACTATCACTAACTAGTTCTATAACTACCACTGACTAGTACTATAACTATCACTAACTACCACTAACTAGTAGTAACTAGTAATATAACTACCACTAACTAGTACTAACTATCACTAACCAGTACTATAACTACCACTACCACTAACTACCACTAACTAGTAATATAACTATCACTAACTAGTACTATAACTACCACTAACTAGTACTAACTAGTAATATAACTACCACTAACTAGTACTAACTAGTACTATAACTACCACTAACTAGTACTATAACATCACTAGCCATCACTAACTAGTACTAACTAGTAATATAACTACCACTAACTACCACTAACTAGTAATATAACTATCACTAACTACCACTAACCAGTACTAACTAGTAATATAACTACCACTAACTACCACTAACTAGTACTATAACTATCACTAACTACCACTAACCGTCACTAACTAGTACTAACTAGTACTATAACTACCACTAACTAGCACTATAACTATCACTATCCAGTGCTATAACTATCACTAACCATCACTAACTATCACTAACTAGTACTATAACTATCACTAACCATCACTAACTATCACTAACTAGTACTATCACTATCTAGTGCTATAACTATCACTAACCATCACTAACTATCACTAACTAGTACTATAACTATCACTATCTAGTGCTATAACTATCACTAACTATCACTATCACTAACTAGTACTATAACTATCACTATCTAGTGCTATAACTATCACTAACCATCACTAACTATCACTAACTAGTACTATAACTATCACTATCTAGTGCTATAACTATCACTAACTATCACTAACTAGTACTATAACTATCACTATCTAGTGCTATAACTATCACTAACCATCACTAACTATCACTAACTAGTACTATAACTATCACTATCTAGTGCTATAACTATCACTAACCATCACTAACTATCACTAACTAAATTTTGATTTAAAGCTTTCGTGACTGCAGTAATTCATATTCGTAGTTTTTTCGGTAGTCACGTTTTATATTTTATTATTTTATTGTTTCCCTTCAACGTGACTTTACCGAAAGAACTAAGAATATGTATCACTAACTAGTACTATAACTATCACTATCACAACCATCACTAACCATCACTATCAGTAACTACTACTAACTAGTAATATAACTACTATAACTAGTGGTGAGTGGGTGGGTGAGTGGGTGGGTGTGTGGGTGAGTGAATCAGTGGGTGAGTGAGTGGGTGGGTGAGTGAGTGAGTGGGTGAGTGAGTGAGTGGGTGGGTGAGTGAGTGGGTGGGTGGGTGAGTGGGTGGGTGGGTGAGTGAGTGAGTGGGTGGGTGAGTGGGTGAGTGAATCAGTGGATGAGAGAATCAGTGGGTGAGTGAATCAGTGGGTGAGTGAGTGGGTGGGTGAGTGAGTGAGTGGGTGAGTGAGTGAGTGGGTGGGTGAGTGAGTGGGTGGGTGGGTGAGTGAGTGGTGAGTGAATTAGTGGGTGAGTGAACCAGTGGGTGAGTCACCTGGGGAGTGAGTGAGTGGGTGAGTGAATCAGTGGGTGAGTGAACCAGTGAGTGAGTGGGTGAGTGAGTGAGTGGGTGAGTGAGTGAGTGAGAGAGTGGGTGAGTGAGTGGGTGAGTGAATCAGTGGGTGAGTGAATCAGTGGGTGAGTGAATCAGTGGCTGAGTCACCTGGGGAGTGAGTGAGTGGGTGAGTGAATCAGTGGGTGAGTGAACCAGTGAGTGAGTGGGTGAGTGAGTGAGTGAGTGGGTGAGTGGGTGAGTGAGTGGGTGAGTGGGTGAGTGAGTGGGTGAGTGAGTGAGTGGGTGGGTGAGTGGGTGAGTGAGTGGGTGAGTGGGTGAGTGAGTGGGTGAGTGGGTGAGTGAGTGGGTGAGTGAGTGAGTGGGTGAGTGAGTGGGTGAGTGGGTGAGTGGGTGAGTGAGTGAGTGAGTGGGTGAGTGGGTGAGTGAGTGAGTGAGTGGGTGAGTGAATCAGTGGGTGAGTGACTCAGTGAGTGAGTCACCTGGGCAGTGAGTGAGTGGGTGAGTGAATCAGTGAGTGAGTGGGTGAGTGAGTGGGTTAGTGAATAAGTGGGTGAGTGAACCAGTGAGTGAGTGAGTGGGTGAGTGAGTGGGTGAGTGAATCAGTGAGTGAGTCACCTGGGGAGTCAGTGAGTGGGTGAGTGAATAAGTGGGTGAGTGGGTGAGTGAGTGGGTGAGTGAATCAGTGGGTGAGTGAACCAGTGAGTGAGTGAGTGGGTGAGTGAGTGGGTGAGTGAATCAGTGAGTGAGTCACCTGGGGAGTCAGTGAGTGGGTGAGTGAATAAGTGGGTGAGTGGGTGAGTGAGTGGGTGAGTGAATCAGTGGGTGAGTGAACCAGTGAGTGAGTGAGTGGGTTAGTGAATAAGTGGGTGAGTGAATCAGTGAGTGAGTCACCTGGGGAGTGAGTGAGTGGGTGAGTGAATCAGTGAGTGAGTGAGTGGGTGAGTGAGTGGGTGAGTGAGTGAATCAGTGAGTGAGTGAGTGAGTGGGTGAGTGAGTGAGTGAGTGAGTCAGTGAGTGAGTGAGTGAGTGGGTGAGTGAGTGGGTGAGTGAATCAGTGAGTGAGTCACCTGGGGAGTGAGTGAGTGGGTGAGTGAATCAGTGAGTGAGTGAGTGGGTGAGTGAGTGGGTGAGTGAGTGAATCAGTGAGTGAGTGAGTGAGTGGGTGAGTGAGTGGGTGAGTGAATCAGTGAGTGAGTGAGTGAGTGGGTGAGTGAGTGGGTGAGTGAATCAGTGAGTGAGTCACCTGGGGAGTGAGTGAGTGGGTGAGTGAATCAGTGAGTGAGTGAGTGGGTGAGTGAGTGGGTGAGTGAGTGAATCAGTGAGTGAGTGAGTGAGTGGGTGAGTGAGTGGGTGAGTGAATCAGTGAGTGAGTGAGTGGGTGAGTGAGTGGGTGAGTGAATCAGTGAGTGAGTCACCTGGGGAGTCAGTGAGTGGGTGAGTGAATAAGTGGGTGAGTGAGTGGGTGAGTGAATCAGTGGGTGAGTGAATCAGTGAGTGAGTCACCTGGGGAGTCAGTGAGTGGGTGAGTGAATCAGTGAGTGAGTCACCTGGGGAGTGAGTGAGTGGGTGAGTGAATCAGTGAGTGAGTGAGTGGGTGAGTGAGTAAGTGAGTGAGTGAATCAGTGAGTGAGTGAGTGAGTGGGTGAGTGAATCAGTGAGTGAGTGAGTGAGTGGGTGAGTGAGTGGGTGAGTGAATCAGTGAGTGAGTGAGTGAGTGGGTGAGTGAGTGGGTGAGTGAATCAGTGAGTGAGTGACTCAGTGAGTGAGTTACCTGGGCAGTGAGTGAGTGGGTGAGTGAATCAGTGAGTGAGTCACCTGGGGAGTGAGTGAGTGGGTGAGTGAATCAGTGAGTGAGTGAGTGGGTGAGTGAGTGGGTGAGTGAGTGAATCAGTGAGTGAGTGAGTGAGTGGGTGAGTGAGTGGGTGAGTGAATCAGTGAGTGAGTGAGTGGGTGAGTGAGTGGGTGAGTGAATCAGTGAGTGAGTCACCTGGGGAGTGGGTGAGTGGGTGAGTGAATCAGTGAGTGAGTCACCTGGGGAGTGAGTGAGTGAATCAGTGAGTGAGTGAGTGGGTGAGTGAGTGGGTGAGTGAGTGGGTTAGTGAATAAGTGGGTGAGTGAATCAGTGAGTGAGTCACCTGGGGAGTGAGTGAGTGGGTGAGTGAATCAGTGAGTGAGTCACCTGGGGAGTGAGTGAATCAGTGACGGAGTCTCTGAGTGATTTTGGGATTCTGCTTCTCAACTCCTCCAGGGAGAGAGGGGAGCCATCTACAACAAAAACAACAACCACAACAACAACAACATCAACAACAACATCAACTAAAACCACAACAACAACAACAACGACTGACTGAGTGACTGAGTGAGTGACTGAGTGAGTGGTGAGTGACTGAGTGAGTGACTGAGTGAGTGAGTGAGTGAGTGACTGAGTGAGTGAGTGACAGAGTGAGTGAATGACTGACTGAGTGACAGTGAGTGACTGAGTGAATGAGTGAGTGACTGAGTGAGTGACTGAGTGACTGAGTGAGTGACTGAGTTACTGAGTGAGTGACTGAGTGACTGAGTGAGTGACTGAGTGAGTGACTGAGTGAGTGACTGAGTGAGTGACTGAGTGAGTGACTGAGTGACTGAGTGAGTGACTGAGTGAGTGACTGAGTGAATGACTGAGTGACTGAGTGACTGACTGAGTGACTGAGTGAGTGACTGAGTGACTGAGTGAGTGACTGAGTGACTGAGTGAGTGACTGAGTGACTGAGTGAGTGAGTGACTGAGTGACTGAGTGAGTGACTGAGTGAGTGACTGAGTGACTGAGTGAGTGACTGAGTGAGTGACTGAGAGAGTGACTGAGTGAGTGACTGAGTGACTGAGTGAGTGACTGAGTGAGTGACTGAGAGAGTGACTGAGTGAGTGACTGAGTGACTGAGTGAGTGAGTGACTGACTGAGTGAGTGACTGAGTGACTGAGTGAGTGACTGAGTGACTGAGTGAGTGACTGAGTGACTGAGTGAGTGATTGACTGAGTGACTGAGTGACTGAGTGAGTGACTGAGTGAGTGACTGAGTGACTGAGTGAGTGACTGAGTGAGTGACTGAGAGAGTGACTGAGTGAGTGACTGAGTGAGTGACTGAGTGACTGAGTGAGTGATTGACTGAGTGACTGAGTGACTGAGTGAGTGACTGAGTGAGTGACTGAGTGACTGAGTGAGTGACTGAGTGAGTGACTGAGAGAGTGACTGAGTGAGTGACTGAGTGACTGAGTGAGTGACTGAGTGAGTGACTGAGAGAGTGACTGAGTGAGTGACTGAGTGACTGAGTGAGTGAGTGACTGACTGAGTGAGTGACTGAGTGAGTGACTGAGTGAGTGACTGAGTGACTGACTGAGTGACTGACTGACTGACTGAGTGACTGACTGACTGAGTGACTGAGTGAGTGACTGAGTGACTGAGTGAGTGACTGAGTGAGTGACTGAGTGAGTGACTGAGTGACTGAGTGAGTGACTGAGTGACTGAGTGAGTGACTGACTGACTAACTGAGTGACTGACTGACTGACTGAGTGACTGACTGAGTGAGTGAGTGAGTGACTGAGTGACTGAGTGACTGAGTGAGTGAGTGACTGAGTGAGTGACTGAGTGAGTGACTGAGTGAGTGACTGAGTGACTGAGTGAGTGACTGAGTGAGTGACTGAGTGACTGACTGAGTGAGTGACTGAGTGACTGAGTGAGTGAGTGACTGAGTGAGTGACTGAGTGAGTGACTGAGTGACTGAGTGAGTGACTGAGTGACTGAGTGAGTGAGTGACTGAGTGAGTGAGTGAGTGACTGAGTGAGTGACTGAGTGACTGAGTGAGTGACTGAGTGAGTGACTGACTGAGTGACTGACTGAGTGACTGAGTGAGTGACTGAGTGAGTAGTCACCCTGCCTGCAGGCAGCTGTGTACAGGACTGGCACAGCGAAACTGGCTGAGTAGACCACGTGGTGGTCAAACCGAAGTGACTGACTCAAGGCAACAGCAGCCACACTCAGCTGTGATGCCTGGGGAGAGACACAGAGACACACAGAGACACAGAGACACACAGAGACAGAGAAACTCACTCTCCCACCCACTCACCCACCCACCCACTCACTCACCCACCCACCCACTCACTCACCCACCCACCCACTCACTCACCCACCCACTAACTCACTCACTCACCACTCACTCACTCACTCTCCCACCCACTCACTCACCCACCCACCCACTC